GAAATTCAATTTGTGTCAAGTTTGAATTCATGATAGTTCTTACACAGCTCACTTTTAACTCAGGTCTGGATGTTGCAACCATAACAAAAACCGTTGTTGAAAACATCCGCAAGAAGGATGCTGGGGAGTTCAGCCACCACGACCACGTGCTGGACACAGGCACAACAGAGGTGAGTGCTTTACAGAGCAGATAGTCCAGTTTGCAATCAGCTACAGAGTCTCTGACCATCTATGAGCCATCTTTTTCTTTCAACAATGGTGAAAATTGCCTTGAAAAAAACTAGGAGGGAAATGTACTTTCCATGTGACCAAGTGAGGATATTGCACTAATCTGTAACTCTGTTTCTGCTTTTCCTTGCTCTTTGGGTGTGTGCTTACCTGTATACAAACATTAAGTGAAGATAAGGCCCTTGAAACGACTGCAGCACCCTATGCTGTAGGTGGGAGTAGGGTGTTGTTATAGCCTCTGCAGTTTATGAGGATTAGTACTTTGGATCTCAGATGTACCTTTTAAGATGCTGAAGTGGCATTTTTAGCTACAGCAGACACTGCTTTTGCTGACAGTTTCCTTGTCACTGCTGTTGACCATTGGTTGTATCCAACTCAGTGCTTTAGGGACAGCAAGGTAATGTTAATAGACTCTATTCAAAGTACTGCTTAGAAAGCAACTGACCGTTTGCAAATCTGTGGTAATGTTTTTGCTGTTCAGTACAAAGTTTAAGCTCCCTAAGACAAAAAGGTAGTTTATCTAACAAGAGTTGGAAAACTGTGGTTGCAGGCTGATGGTGCCCCTGAAGATTATAGCAAGAGCTCCATGAATGTACCATGTTGGTACAGTGTATTTGTATTAAAAATTGAGGAAAACACATCATAATCCATAAAAAATGTTGAGAGATGATGCTCTGAATATCTTGGGAACACTTCGAAATTAATTTTTTAAAATTATTGCAGATGGCAGAGGTTTTCTAAGCTTTTGAATAAATCGATCCTTGTTACTGTGTTGCAATGCTTTCCAAACTTGTGTATTTCCCTGACCAGATCTAATGTGTGTTGCATCAGCTGTGGGCTTGAAATGGTGATGAATCTCTGTGTTGTTTTTTACAGGCGGATCAGCTGAAAATAGATGTAATTGACTGGCTCGTATTCAATCCTGCACAGAGGGCAGAAGCACTTAAACAAAGCAATGCAATCATGAGGAAGTTCTTGGGTACTAAGCTTCACAAATACTATAGACTTACTTTTAAATGTTGGTTTTGTTCTCATTGGCTCTTGGCAGTACATTTGATATAACTGGATCTAGTCTATTAAAAAGCATGGGTTTGCCAGCTTAAGAAGATAAGGTATGGAAATTGCAAAGCTCTGATACCCAATTCACATTCTCATAGCATCCAAGAAACATGAAGCTGCAAAAGATGTGTTTGTGAAGATTCCCCAAGACTCTATAGCAGAAATATATAACCAGTGGGAAGAACAGGGAATGGATACTCCGCTTCCAGCTGAAGATGACAATGCTATCCGGGAACACTTATGTATTCGTGCATATTTGGTGAGTTTCAAATATGCAATATTCCAAGTTATTGTTTAGAAATACTGGTGACTTTGCCTTGGTGGTGAAACTTTAGCTTTGTCCATTTGATTTAACTTCTGATTCTTTGATTCATTAAACCTGTGCATGCAATGACATTCTGGTTATTAGATGAGTCAAAAATACCCAAACACTGTTTCCAATGCAATCCAGGAAGCCCATGAAACCTTTAATGAATGGTTTAAACACATGAACTCAGCTCCACAGAAGCCGTCTTTGTTACCACAAGCAAGTTTCACTGAAAAAGTGGCCCATGAACATAAAGAAAAGAAGTATGAGGTAGGTGGAAGTCCACCTTATTTACTGTAAACTTTTATGTTCTTGCTTTAGAGGCAGTCTAGTTCAATGAAAGAAAGTAGAAGACTGCTATTTCATATTATTTAAGGACTGTATTATATACTATTTTTAGTATATAATACAGTCCTTAAATAATATGTTGAGAGAGTATGAGACAACAGAGTTATAAGGCAACTGCACAATAAATTCTGTTTTTTTAATGACTCAGCTTTACATAAAATACTGTAATAGTAAATATTATCGTGTGTTGATTGTCAGTGTTATTAATAAATGTGAGCCCTTGATTTTGCTATTAATTCTATGAAGTATTAGCACCTTCTGTTTTCTAAAAGATGCTGCAGTTTTGTTTTGAGTAAAGTTCTTTTTGCAGGTCTGGTCAGTAAAAATATACCCTATTCAGTTAACATAAACATTTGTTTTATAAGCATGGCAGAATAGGTTGTTTAAAATTATCTTCCTCTCGTGGCTTTGTTTTTGAACAACCTGTCTGACTCTGTGGACAGGGCATTAAGAAAGGATGGAAATAGTTGTGAGCAGCAGGCTTTTAAGTTTTAGCCACTGACTGAAGATTCTAATTTGAATTGGAGCTGCACTGCCTGTTGCAGTCTGTTTTAAAATAGCCTTGGAAATTATCCTGTTCTGCAGTAGTTTATTTTTTGTTTCTTTGCCAGATGGATTATGGCATTTGGAAAGGCCTCTTGGATGCTCTTACAGCTGATGTTAAGGAGAAAATGTACAATGTGTTGCTGTTTGTTGATGGAGGATGGATGGTTGACGTCAGAGAGGTAAAATGAATTTTTATGTCATGACGCAGACCACAAAGCACAGATCACATGTAGTTGTACCTTTGTGACATTTAGTTTCATGTGCTCCTGTTCAATTTGCTCTGGCCTTGCTGTGAGCATTTAGAGCTTGCTCCCTGAGTAACCATGCAGATCACACTTGACAGTCCACTCCAGGCTGCTGAGGCCAGTTTTCTGCCTCTGACAGTACCAATTGCGTGCTTATGCTGAGTTGCCTGTGACAGGTACATTTTCCTAATACTGACATGTTACTTTGCTCTGGTAAGGACGCCGAGGAGGACCCTGAGCGAGCACACCAGATGAGCCTGCTGCGGAAGCTGTGCCTGCCCATGATGTGCTTCCTGCTGCACACGGTGCTGCACAGCACGGGCCAGCACCAGGAGTGCCTGCGCCTTGCTGACATGGTCGCCTCCGAGCGCCACAAGCTCTACACGGTGAGCCAGGCAGGGCTGCAGCAGCCTGGCCTACACTGAAAGCTCTGTGGGCTGGCTGTGGAAAAAGCTTCTATATAGAGAGGAAGACACCATATGTTCCTTAGCATCATAAGTTTCTTGATCGCTTCCCATTCACTGCAGTAGTAAAAGGTTTCCTTGTGTTATGACTTATGGAATCAGAGTTAACTTCGAAATTTTGGGGATAATGACCACCGTTCTGACAACCAGTTCTGAGTACTGCAATTACTAATTTTTGGATGGGGGCTCTTGAATTTTAACCTCATGATCTTAAAGGTCTTTACCAGCCTAAATGATTCTGTGATTCTAAATTTAGCTGTAGTATTGTAATTGATTTCTTTATTTCCATTACATTTCAAAGACTATATAAGCAGGTTTTGCTTTAGAGCATTTGGTTTAGCCATGACTATCTTTGCCTCCAAATGCCTAAAAACACCCCCAGAATGAGACAGAGCTATCTTGAGCCTATGTTCAGGTTTTGGATGCTGTGTCTAACCTCCCGTGCCTTACTTAATGTCCTTCTGAAATGCCTGATGATCACACTATCTTAAAGAGAAATAATCAAATAGAAAAATTAATTAACCACCACTTTTTTTAATCAATGCTGTTCATTGCAAATAAATATAACTTTATGATGTTTGGTTTTTTATTATTTATTCTCAGGTATTTTCAAAAGAAGAACTCCAAAAGCTTCTACAGAAGCTGAGGGAATCTTCTCTGATACTTCTGGACCAGGATCTTGATCCTTTGGGATATGAAATTCAGTCATAAGTTTTCATGCAGATACTTTCAAAAACTTCTGAGCATGGACATTCTGGTTATTAACAAAAACAAACAAAAGACCCCAACAAAATCATTACTTGGACAAAGTGTTCTCTTCTTGTGGGGTGAAAAACCCCAACCTTCAGATTTCAATTTAAACTTGAAAAAGTGTGACCAACTTCAGAGATGTTATTTGTTACACAACCTTTTTCATATTTTTTTTCCTAATAAAAGTGCTTGAAAAAGAGAAAATGTTTGTTCATTCTAATCTAAATGGCATTATATAAATTTGGTGATTGTATGAACTCCTTAATTTATTTGCTACATGCCACAAAGACTGCCCATAGACTGCATGGATACAGGGAGAAGGAAAATGAGACTGCCAGGTGTATGGAGAAAGTAGGGGAGAAGGAAAAGGGACACACTGGAGAAAAGGAAAACCAAAAAGCAAAAGTGAGGGGTTACTTCCAGCCCTTCAGAAGAGAAGGCAGCCTTGTCCTGTTCTGCTGTACATGAAGGAGTTGCTAAAATGCTGATGAAATCCTGAACCAGAGGAAAGATGATCATATGTTGAAACCCCCCCGTTTGAGATTTCGTAGTTTATTTTGAAAGCTTGTTCTGCCCCCGTTTACATGTGTAAACACATGTTTAGCTGCCTTTCCCTTAACAAAACAGAGTGCAGAGGACACGTAGTGCAGTTAGGCAAGGACTTTGGCTCCTTCACGCGAGTCGGTGTCTCTTGACACCTGGCAAGGAACGTACTTCGTGCTGTACATCTGTGCGCACAAGGCCGTGTTTGTGGAAATGCCCAGTCCCGTTGTGGAGCGGTACTCGTGGCTTGGAGCCGGGCTGCGTTTCTGTGCCTCGGGGCTGTTGGGCAGGCTATGGGGGCGCACACACACTCACACTCTCACACTCACACTCACACTCACACACGCAGGGCCGTCCCCCCGGCCGTCCCTGCCGCCCGGGCCGGGCGGGCGGAGCCGTTCGCAGCGGGCGGGGCCACCGGAAGGCGCGAGCCCACGTGTCCCGGCGGGCGGGCGGAGCGGGGCGGGGAGGCGGCGGCGGGCCCGGCCGGTGCGCGGGCGGCCGCCGGGCTGCCTCAGCCATGGGCTGGCTGCCGGCGCAGGGCCGGCTGGCGGCGGGGCTGCTGGTCAATCTGGCCGCCTCCATCTGCATCGTCTTCCTGAACAAATGGCTGTACGTGCGGCTGGGCTTCCCCAACCTCAGCCTCACCCTGGTGCACTTCGCCATCACCTGGCTCGGCCTCTACCTGTGCCAGGCGCTCGGCGCCTTCTCCCCCAAGAGCCTCCAGCCCGCGCAGGTGCTGCCGCTGGCCCTCAGCTTCTGCGGCTTCGTCGTCTTCACCAACCTCTCCCTGCAGAGCAACACTATCGGTACCTACCAGCTGGCCAAGGCCATGACCACGCCGGTCATCGTGGTCATCCAGAGCGTGGCTTACGGCAAGACTTTCCCTCTGCGGATCAAGCTGACCCTGGTGAGGAGGCGGCGGGGCGCAGGGGGGCGGGGAGGGGCAGCGCTGAGGGGCAGCGCTGAGGGCGACGACCCCGCCTAAAACCGCCGTGTCCCTTCCACAGGTCCCCATCACGCTGGGTGTTTTCCTCAACTCCTACTACGACGTGAAGTTCAGCGTTCTGGGGATGGCGTTCGCCACCCTGGGCGTGCTGGTGACCTCGCTGTACCAAGTGGTGGGTAACGGCGGGCGCGGGAGCCTTGGGGGGTTGGGCTCCCTTGGGCATGCCGCCCCTTGCTTCGGTCGCCTTTAAGTAGCACCCAGCCCTCCAGGAAACCTTCCCTGCTCCGTTATTTCTTTTTTAAAACGCCCACCAAATTATGATAGTCCACCATAACTCCTGATAAATTAGGAGACAAACTCCTGACCGTCCTTGCTGCTAAAAATTGGGGTGTCATCTTTAACGTGAGCGTTATCTTCAAGAGGCGAAGATTGCTTTAGCGGTAAAACTCCTTTTTTTCTAGAGGGAGCAGATGTTCTCCTTGCTGAAGCAAGTGCCTTGCGTTTGAGCTTTCTCCCTAGAAAGGATGTTTTCCAGTCAGTCAATCCCATGGTTTATCCTTGAGCTATTTACATTTTATCAGTATCCTTCTTCAGTTTAAACTATATACATTCTAAGGTGTTTGTTTTTGTAGAGGATGGATTAATACATAAACGCACAATACAACCTTCCTGGATAATCATGATTTTAAAAATTGGTATGTCCAAGGACTGCCTCAGCCCTTTCTGCTGTAACATTGTACTAATAGCTCACCCGATTTGTTATTGACCATGACTATAAGAGCCTCCTAGATTAGAAACTCCTGTCATGTCAATGTGATAGATTTAAACGTGAATTTCTTTTAGGAGGCGTATTGTGCCTCAAAAAAAAAACGTGAGGCTCTTTGACCCCTTTGATAAATAATGGTCTCTTGACCTGTTTTGGGGCAGGAGGAGGAAAGAGATGCTGCATAATGACATTAAACTGATTTGTGTACTGGAGAAATAATGGTACTTGGGTAAAATTATCTAGATTAAAAACTATGAGCAAGTTTATATGCCAGAATCCATATTACCAGTTAATGTGATTTAAATAAATATTAAATGTCAGTTTTCAGCACAAGAGAAAGATGTGTCCTTTTGGCTGTAACATCTGTCTTCATAGCCATAGATAAGTAATATTTCTGAAAGCATGCAACCTTAAAAATTGAAGTTCAAGTCAATTATAATCAATATTGAAATGAAATCCATTAAATCTGGAATAAACTGACAAAAGACAAATGTGTATTGGTTTTGTTAGCTTGTATGTACAGGAAAATGAGAAGAAAGGAGCAGAATCCAGTGCCTGCTTAGGAAAGGATACTCAGGTCCAACACAGGCAGGATCTGGAATTTATAAAATAAAGGGGAAAATAAAGGGGAGCTGCTATTTTCTTCCCAGCTCCTCAACCTACTTGTTCTTCGTCAAGTATGATAATTTACTCCCAGGCTATGTGAAAAGGAAAGTTGAGGCACTCTTTTCACTGCCCCTGCATACAATTTTCTCATGGCTTTTTCACTTGAAAGAGACAAACACATGGGGCCTCCACTGAGGCAAAGGTGAGGCTCAACAGCCTGTTTAAGTAGTATTGTCCACGTGAGACTCCCTCTGTGTTAGTGGGCAGTTTGCTTTTGCTCAGGTTTTTCAGTTTATGGGGGGTTTTTTTCTCATGTTTAACAGCTTTCTCTTTTGGTTTTAGTGGGTAGGTGCTAAGCAGCATGAGTTGCAGGTAAACTCCATGCAGCTGCTGTACTATCAGGCACCGATGTCCTCAGCTATGTTGTTGTTCATCATACCCTTCTTCGAGCCAGTCTTTGGAGAGGGGGGAATATTTGGGCCCTGGACGCTTTCTGCTGTGGTAAGGCTTTTGTTGACTTTATTTAAATAACTATCACTGGTGTAGTTAAATTTGATAGTAAGATCTGTTTCTTTTTGGAACAGATTTTTGTACAGCTGTTGTCTGTGGTGAGATGAGAGGGACATGTGCAGGACAAAAAGCCCCTTGCTGAGTCCGCCCCGCTTCCTCTGAGAGGAGCGAGTCTGTCAATTGATTTATCTCCTTATTCTTGTTTCTATTTAGAGGGCATCTGAACAACAGGAAAATCTGTCAAAATCCAGAAGCTTCCCCTAGTGTATGAAGTGCTCTATTTCTAGCTCTGACTGTCCACTCAGAAGGACACTCTCAACTTCTCTTCTGTGGAAGGATGCCAACATTGATTGTTCTCTAGAATTAGTAGTTTATTTTCACCAAGGAGACTATAGTTTCTCTCAATATCCTTCTGTCCAAAAAAGAGCCAGTGACATATTCTTACTACTGCTGATTGTGCCCTCAGTGATGGGTCATTTCTTGTAGCATTGTATTTTATGAATGGGATAGCAAGTGTTCACAGTAATAAAATCAGATATTTTGCTAAAATAGTTTTTGTTGTGACCATAAATTAGACTTTATCTCAAAGTTAAAGTATACAACCTCTATGTGAATGAGTATCCAGATTTTCCAAATCACTCTTAAATGTTCACCAAGAGTAAAGGAGAAAAGGCCTGTGGCTCTTGTCAGTGTATATTTATGGATGTCATAAATATACATGTCACTGAGCTGCTTATACACATCACCAGTGTCTGTACTGGTTTGAAACTGTTTCTATTTTTGTTCTCCATATGTTTTTCTTGCCTGATATTTTGCATTTGAAAGTAAATGAAACTAAATAAATAACCTGGAATGCATCTATAAACTGCCAGAAGCATGTCAGATTACTGACTGTGTCCATTAATCCGCAGATAATGGTACTGCTGTCTGGAATAATAGCCTTTATGGTAAACTTGTCCATTTACTGGATCATTGGAAATACGTCACCTGTCACGTATCCTTTGTAACACTGGTGGTTTCTCCCGTTGCCAGAGTCATTATGTTGGAATTCGTTTGGGCTGATTAATGTGGGAAAATTGTTCGATAACCTTCCTGGTTTGGGATTTGCATAGGTAATGGGTCATTCGCTGACCTTCATACCTGCAAGGAATATTAACTCACGCTTTGGCTGCCTTGAGCAAGTGTTGGCATGTCCATCAGACTGCACTGAAAAGGGGTGAAAGGCTTTAGGTGGGGGTAAATACAGCCACAGAGATATGTATGAGAAAACTGTATTGAGTTGAGTCAACACAGTGTACCATTGCATGCTTTGGGTGGAACTAATGAAAATTCCAAGTGTTTCTTTTTACAAAAAATAATACTGGTATTGGCTATTATCCTTAACAGATGTCTAGGTATAACATGTTTGGACATTTCAAGTTCTGCATCACCCTCCTGGGAGGGTGCCTCTTATTTAAGGATCCATTGTCTGTTAACCAAGGCCTTGGGATTCTGTGCACACTGTTCGGCATTTTAGCCTACACCCACTTCAAGCTTAGTGAGCAGGAAAGCAATAAGAGTAAATTGGCCCAGCGTCCATAGAGCAAGAGTTTCTGAAGACTGTTGTGAAGGAAAACAAGTATTTAAATATGCATTGATTTTAGAATGCGCAAAATTGCCTCATCCACTTAGATCTATGGTTTTAGTTTAAGTGCCAGGATTGTTATTCTGTAACTAAACCAAACAAACTGAAGGATGTAAAATTCTGGGGTTTTGCCATCTCAGTCTGTCCTATCGTTTTCATTAAATTAAAACACTAACTTGAAAGAGAAAAAGGCACACTTCAAATTGCTGTGGAAATTGTATTGAAGTAATTATATTTTTTGCATACTAAATGAGATCATGATTATACATGCTACACTTATAGTACAGAGAGAGAGAAAGAAAAAGAATCCATTCTCTGTGATCAAGCCAGTATTGCCGTTGTGAAGACATTTGGAGACACTTTTATGCAGATGTTCTGGTGTGTAGTGATGCTTCCTCATTTTTGTCCGATGAACAATGAAGAGGGAAACATATTTTGTCCAATCAATTTAAAAAAAAGGCTGCCAGACTCATTCCTATTTCTTGTATATGCTTTCTTATGTATGGCTTCAACACAGGGATAGATTTTTAGATGAAGAAAGTAGATAAAATTACAGGTGAAGAGAAAAGCAGAAAACTTGAAGCCACAGGCCAAGGTGTGGGAAAGTAGGAAATTGGATCTAAACAGTTCATCTTAATTTTTTCTTTTAATTTGTCAGGACATTCACGAAGTAATTGACGTTTTGAAAATGTTGTTACTGCTTTATCATTTTCTCTGTGCCAAAACCAAGACTTTACACAAGATCTTGTAAATACTACCTGTGAGCCTAATAAAATCTCTGGTTTTGTGGTAGTAACCAAATGTTTTGCAGCCCTTGCACACAGACACCCATGCTAAAAAATATTTTCAAGAAGGCTTTGGAAAGGCCACCGTCTTTAATGGGTGTGAAGGCTGCCCAGTTCTCTCTCTTGCCTTCAGCACCACCTCCCTTGCTCCCACGTCTTTCCCCAAGAGTTACCTTGGGTGGGATCTGCAGGTTTGTCATCGTCTGGGGGAGAGGCCCAGAGGCTGGCTGGACAATGCTGGGTGCGAGGCAGCATTTCCTCAACAGACAGTCCTGGGAAATGTATCTGAATGGCTGAAGAGTGCAAGGTGGGACCTGCTGCTCTACTTAAGAAATGCTTTGAAAATTTTTTTATGACAGTATCAGGCACTTATTTTGACAACGTGGATGGAAGAAGTTCAGTGCTGTTCTAGTTAAAAAAAGGAAAGAAAAAATAACTGCTTTCCGTAAATCTGGTGAGAACATATGTTCACTAGATTTGCAGGGTTAGAATTTAATTGCAGTATCTTAATCCTTACATGTTGGGGTTTGTTTAGTCTTTGTCTACCTCTATCAGATTAAAAGAGGGCAATTGTATGGACAAAACCAAGTATTTAAGTTGTGCAGCCACTGACAGAAATAATATTTAGTTCCTCTAAGTTTTTTACAATAGAGGCAAGAAGTCTTTGTGTTGGAAACAATGCAACCTTTCTCAAGCTTGTTTATTTATTCTGTTACAGAGTTCTTGATTTAAGAAAAAGTTATTCCTCTGTGTAACCTAAGTTTTTACATAAAACTATATCATTTCAGAGCTACAAATACCTGAAAAATTTTACATCTTTACCAACTGTTTCTTGGACATTGTACTGGTCCAAGAATAATTTTTTTAGTACAGTTTTGTAGATCTGTATAATTAGTTTAAAAATACAGCCTGGACTACTGAAAGATGTGTTCAGATGGTCAAGCTCTGGATGCATATCCTTCAGTATGTACACTGAGAAAGCCATTTCCATTAATTTGTGCTGTGCACAAGTTCTTTTGAGATGTAGATAGACTGCAAAGAAACAGCTAAGAAACAACTGAATCACATGCCTGTATGACAAAAATATTTGAGACGAGATGGATGTAAATATATATATATATATGAAGTAGTAGAATGAACTAAACAACCATGCCTGGAAATACAAAAGACTCCGTAAGGAGAGGAGCAGATCTGCAAGAGAAAGTTAAGAGCATCATTTAAAAAGTACATTATAAATATAATCTGGTGCTTAAAGGGGTGTGTGTGTGTATGAGTCACTTAAGTGATGTGATATTTTTTCATGCATTCAAGAACTCTCTTTTGAGATTTACTTCTTGTATCTAATAAATAAAGTATCTTGAACTTTGTCATTTGTTTCAAAGTATTAAATCCAGGATACTTGTGTAATTGTGGGATAAATAGATCTTTGTATGTATTGTTTCTTTGGATACCATGTGTAGGGTGGGAATAAATTTTTAATCATTTGTCTGACTCCTGCTTATTGCAGAAGAGAGGAGTTGTTCTTGTCTTTTTTCATCTTCTGTTTGAGTTACATAACTTTGGGGGTCTAGGTGTGTATAAGACAAAATGGTACCACATGGATTTCTGTCCACATGAATACAGCAGGGAGTTTGAACTTTTTGGACTCATGGCACAAATGAGGAAAACTAAGTCCTGAGGTAAAACCGGAGTCTTACAAAAATTACTGATACTTACTTGTTTATTCTGGTTTTCACTACGTGGCTTGAATATGTTTTCCTGCTAACTATGTATGTTTCAATCAGTTTTGGCTTTTCTGAAAGAGAAATCAGAGACTTGCCATCTTCAGCAACGTGTAGTCATCTCGCTGTGTGAGCTGTTACAATTGAGGCTGTACCATACATGCCCCAGTGTTTGCTTTCTGCTTTTCATTTTACTTTATAGTCATACTTTATATGACTAAACTGTGGTAACAGGGTAGGCTTTGGTCCTTTTCTGCCATGCCATGCTTTGCTGCTATACTAGCATTCTTTACTTTATAAAGCTACCATTGATGTAGTTCAAATGGAACTGAAGATACCCAGATGGCATTTAAAAATGAGAGCAGATAAATCTGGTTAAAATGTGAGTGACTGGTGGCAAGTTATCTAGACTTGTCCCCGAAAACACTTTAGACCAACATCCACAAGGTTTCCCCATTTTCCCCAAAGCAGTAGGAAGTATGTCTTCATTTAAGAGATACTCGGTGTAAAGCTTTGTGTTGCCTTTAACTTTGGTAACTTGGCTCTTGTTTGACAGCTTTTGCATGGGGTTTTGTACAACTGGCTAAGTTCTCAGGCTCTGGGGCAGAGTGCCAGAGGAGTTTTCCTCTAGATGGGTGAACAGCTACTCTCAGGCTTGAGGTTGAAGGAGTGTGGTTTGCTGCTGTTACATGTATGAAAAGGAGGTTTGTCTTGCAGGAAGTCTACAGCGTTCAGGACAGAACTGCAATTCAGCAGGACTGTATCCTCTCTCTGTCTCATTTCATGAAATGAATGCCCAGCAATGGCCTGGGGCTAAAGCAACATTAAAACTTTGTATAGGTTACCCTAAAAAAAGACAGTATTTTATTAAACTTTAAAAAAAATATTACCAGTAGTCAATGCTCAATAAATATTAAGGTAAAATCTCATTTTTATAATGTCTTATTATATAATGAGTTTCAAAAGAGTGGTTTTTAACATTTTGGAGTTGAGCTAATGTCTAACCCATATCTAGTTTGTAAAATTTGCAAAATCTGTCCAAAATGCTGGATTTGATAGCTGGCTGTACATCTTGGTACAGTTGGGCTGCTGAGGAGAGGCCTGCCCTTGAGCAGTACTGGACACTGCCACACTGTTCAGGTGTTTATAGCAAGGACTAAGAACATCTGGCCTGAAATTCGCCAGTGTACTTGGGAAAGGAAGAGGACTCACTGATTGGCAATAGCTTTTTAACGTCTGCTTTTTATGTTCCTGCTTTTAACAATAGGCTTGTAGGTTGAGGTAATTCGGGGAGCAGGACTTACTTCCTCCTATCACCTTTCATACTAAGATTTTTCTTACAAGATGTCAGTTTTGCTTCCAGTTAAATAGTTATGTCTTACCTAGATTATGAAAGAACCAGAGTTTGGATTAAAGACTAGGAGGTGTTTGTGTTGTTTTTTTCCCCTCTTCAAATTTTATTTTAGGTTTTCAAAACCCAAATTCCTTGTTTAACAAGAAAACAAAAAGAAAAATTATTTTAATAAATTAAAGGCTATTGTGTATATATAGTGGAAATATGTTTTGCAAAAGAATTTCACTCTTCTAATTTTGAAGATGCAGTTCTTTGCTTTTCTACTGTTACAATCAAGCAGCCGAAAAGAAGCATTGGCTTTTCTGCTTCATACAAATTCAGTTTCTTCCTGCAGGTGCTCTCCCTCTGATCACAGTGTCAGCCTTCCGTTTGACAGCTCAG